GGGCTGAAGATCCTGTACATGCACTGGTGCCCCCCCCCCGGGAACAATTACTTGGAGAAAATCAAGATGTTTTTGCAGAAAACATCTCTGGTCTCAGGGACGATTAACAAGTGTAATGCCATGCAGATGTTGTCTCGGTGCAAAGGAGGCATTCAAGGACCGTACGACACACGGCCTCTTGGACGCCGTGAGCAGAATCCTCACATTTCATCTCCTTGAGTTTCATCTTGTGGGGATTTGGTGTAAATGTTATCATGCTTCCTCTCTCTCGGTCTCCCTAACTTTATCTCTTCACCGAATGATAAAACTATCCAGCCATCTTCATGGAAAAATAACTATTTTAAGAAAAAAAAAATCAAGATGTTGCTACAATTTTTATTCAACAAAAGAATCTAAATTTTCAGGCTGAAAAAGGAAGAAAAGAAAACCGATCCCACAGATCTCTGAGGCCGACAGCCACCTTCAGGTACTTCAGGTGGTTCGATACCCGGAGCTACACGCAAACAGACCATTATTCACCACAGGAACAAACGTGCCTCAAACAGCTGAACATGCGGAGCCGGGTGCCAGCTGTTGCGTAACAGCTGTATTCGTCCTGCGGCATGCACACAAATACTTGAACCAGGTGACTCTTGACCCTCGAGGTCCTGCATTTTTGTGGAGAAAACTCCGCGAGGAAGAAGAGAAACAGACAGATGAGGGAGTACGATTTCATGTATGCGTCATGTTGTATCACCGCCGACCAAAAGGTGGAAGAAAAATCCCCATTCATGTTGTAAAAACATCCGTGTGACTAAACGTCAGTTGTATCTAGTGTTTGAATATAGATTCACTCTGATACCAGTGGTATCAGTAGCCCTGCTTAGCCTGCTAGCATGCTAACACTTAGCTGGACCTGGGCTCGCCACCCGTCCCTTTAAGTACGGAATCGTCCCGTTTGAGAATAGAATAGCGCAGGACGGGCTTTGTCCTGCACTATTTTGATCTGTCTTCAATGCAAATAATCCCACCCGAATTCTGTGAAGACTCGTCCTGTTCTGCCATCGATGGTTTGATGTGAACCTGAAACAAACCATCAGTCAGAGGAGGGCGGGTCTCTTGGCGCAGTGTCAGCGGAAATGACTATGATGAGGATATGACCACGTGAGTTAGAGTGAGGGCTTCTGTTCACACTAATCTCTATAGCAGATATACTTTTATAATGTCCATGTATTAATCTCTCTTCATAAAAACGTGTTAAAGTTGTGATTTACCACCACTGGCACATCCTGTGGTCATCACCGGGGGTCACACGCCAAATTATGCATGCATACATCCACCTACACATCTTCCACCCACCGTCCATCCAACACACATCCATCTAACCATCATCCGTCCAAACATCCATCATCCACCCACATTCCACCCACCGTCCATCCAACACACATCGATCTAACCATCATCCGTCCAAACATCCATCATCCACCCACCGTCCATCCAACACACATCCATCTAACCATCATCCATCTAAACATCCATCTTCCACCCACCCATCCAACACACATCCATCTAACCATCATCCACCATACATCCATCTAGTCATTAGGGATGTTTTAGACACTGCATGTAATTAAACTGTCAATTAAACAGTTAATATTTTGTTCAATGTGAAAAAACTTTCTTTAATTACATCAATTGTTGTTTGTGCTTTTTTTAATAAAAAAGTATCGGGTTAGCACCGGTATGGGAAAAAACCCAAAAGATACTCATCCCTCCACCATCCATCCATCTAGCCATCATCCATCTATTCATTCCCTTCTGCTCGTTAGAATCTGCAGTTACTCTGTTTTAACCAGGTTTCATCACTATATGCTGGCTGTGTGGCAAAATGTGCCTTATAAATAAAATGCATTATTATTGTTATTATGTGAAACCTTTAAAGCGCCGGTCTGTGCCGTGTAAAGCCGGACCGGAAGCAGTTTGTGCCCCTTAGTATTAATCAAAGCCAACGTAAAGAGAAGAAGACGCCTGCCGTCCCACGGGGACATTTCACAGCTCGTCATGTGTCAGATATTCCCGGCATGCCGCGGCGTAAACGCAGGTCGGGAGAACCCGCCACCATATTTACCCAGTGCACCGACTTGGCTGCCGGCTGTGTGCTCGTCCCGGGGCGGAGAGGCTAGTTTGACTGATGCTCGTAGCAGATTGCATCCCAGCAGGGGAGCGACTGAGACGCTTTACGCACCGCCGCTCCCCCTAAACGGTCTCAACGGTGGCAGCGCTCCACCTCCGAAATTTGGAATAGTAATTTTTGAAGATCTCCCAGCAGTCTGTCTCCAATTGGCCTGCGGCGGGGGTGCGCTTGATATCGGTGAAGTATCGGACCCACAATCTCAGCAAAACACTTGGTTTTTAAACTCCTCAGTGAATATTTCTATATTATATTAAAGAAATTACTATTCTCATGACATAAAACACAAAGGCGATATGAGCAGAGAGCCATGCGATCTTTTTAGGATTTCTTTTACATTATTTTTCTAAATCACCAAATCCATTGCCATGGGATCAATTTCCCATGATGCAGCGCCACAGCAGCTTCAATTACACTCAATCTTCTTTGTGTTAAAACGTTCTACTATAAATACTGAAGTGTTTTCCTTTCTTGAACCATACAACCAAACCGTCCTCCTCATTTCTAAATCACCTGGCAAAGTAGTCGGTGTGCAGTGACTCGTGAGTTGTGTAAAGAAAGAGTTGTTGATCATTAGCAGAAGGACGCGGCGCCGCACATCTGGCCGCACTCTCGAAAATCTCCATCTCTGCTGCTACTTTAGCTCTTAAAAAGATGTCAAATCTGCACCTTCCTAACCCCCCAAGAACAAACTCACTGTGAGAATTTGGAGGAATATCTCTCTTGAGTGGCACTTAACATAATTGAACACATGCCATGGGGGGGGGGGGGCTCCACCTTCTTGAATTAAACAGTCCAACACTCATTACCAGAAAAAAACTTGACTCCCTCATGGCCTGAATCAAGTGGTGGGGGGGGGGGGGGGGGGGGGGGGGGGGAGACCCAAAGGAAGCCACCAGCCTGACGGGTAAAGATGGAAACCAGGCAGATTTTATGTCTCCAACTAAAAACTCAATTCAAAAGACGAGTGAGTCACCGAGTTAAAAGTCTCCAGCTAGAAGAGGCCACGGCAACAAACAAACCACAGAAGAAGAAAAGCAGGAGTGTTGATCATAGATATAGATAGGCTATATATTGGCATATCACTCAGCTGGCTGCTATGCTAAGCTAGCTGCCAGGCTAAGCTAGCTGCCAGGCTGCTTCTCAACATCTAACGTTACCCTGCAGGGCACACAGTCTGCAGAGGACCACCACTGTGTCCCTAAAGGACGGTGGTTTGAAAACGTCCTGCTAAATGTGGGACATTGTTGGACTTCAAACTCAGCCGTTAAATGATGGAGAGTCGAGAGCAAAGTGCTCGAGGACAACGGGACGAGTCGCTAGTTCAACATGTTCCACCAGGTTCTGTCTGATGAAGATGATCATGTGTGTAGTTCTGTGTTTGAAATAACATTTTTAATGTATTGACAGCCCTAATATATATATATATTAATATTAATGTATTATGTCTAGCCTTTACTTATTATAACCATGGGTTTTCATACGAAAATACTATTAAACAGAACATTATTCATAAGTATGCAGTGTCATAACCACATCTTTGACGTTTATAATAAACCAATCCGTTTAAGAATTGGGTGAAAATGATTTGAAGTGCATGTACCAACACAATGTTATGGGTGAGCGAGATGTACCAAGATGGCCGCCATGTGCGGACGTTCCGTACTCCGCCGTGAGACACGCAGCCTTTATATACGTCTGTGGTGATGGGAAACAATGGGAAACAAAGTGCGTGGTGAAGTTCAGCAGCATGAATCTGCCCACACACACACCTCCTCCACAGGTGTGCGCTCTCAGGTTGAGTCATCCCCTCCCACGTAGTCGATACCATCGCCAGCACTGCTCTTGTGGACGTCCCACCAGCCCCCCCTCTCCATCGAGGTTCCGGACCGACACACACACACACATCACGGCAACGCACAATCACGACTAAAAATGTCCCGATGATAAGTCGTAAGGGGAGTGCAGGCAGCCCCAACATAGCAGAAGGAAATCCGAACCTCTGTCCAAGACCCGGTGGGCTGGCCCCGGCCCCCCAGGCTGGACGAGGACCAGAGAGAAAGCCGGATCAGCGCCGGCTGGCCGGCTGCCCCGTGCTGCTCGGTGGTTGTGGGATGTGAGCGCAGGAAACACTCAGATAAAGGTTGCTGACGGGTTCAGTCACTCTGGGCCCTAAATGATTTTTCCTCCTTGGAGGAGTGAAGCAGGCGGAGCGGCGAGTTCCACGTGGGGGCTCAGACAGCACGTTGAAACGCTACATTCCGCCCAGAGTAACGGCCGAATGGTTGGAACCATCCTTGTGAAATCCGTCTCATGGCGTCGGGGTGATTAGGTGGTGTGATCCTTCGGCCAAATTCTATTGAAACACGTTTCATTGCTGAGCAGACGGGCGCCGAGGCTCCTGCAGCAGGAAGGTCCTACGGGGAGACGAGGAGGCCGACCTCTCCCCCCTCAAACATGGAGTCCTTTTGATTTGTGGAGGCGTCTGATCAGAGAACCTTTGACTCAGAGTCACTACAGAACACAGCTGCTACATACCAACACAGGGGGGACGGAGGACGCACGCAATCATCTACGCTCGTCTTCAGTAACAGTCTTTCATTCTATGACGGACGACCGCTTTTTAATCGGCAATTACAGAAGCAGGTCCTCCGGCTGGACGTTTTTCTGATGCGTTGAAGTGAAAAGCTCCAACTTAATACAAATGAGCAGATTTACCCGCAAACAGGAAGTTCTTCCTATTATTTCAAAATAAAACCCCTCCCTTGACACCGAGAGAGCGCGCCTGTAACAACCACACCCAGAAGAAGCGATAAAAGCTGCGACTCACTGCGCTTCCTCAGAGGGGGGAGGGGCTTCACTGGGGGCTTGGTCGGCCTCCTCCAATCAGTGCGCGGGCTTCTCCTTCTCCCTCGGGGCTGGAGGCTCCTCAGGGCAGAGGCACTCTGGGTAATCTGCAAGCAGGGAGGGATGTTAGTGGGCGTGTGTGACGGCGCGCGCGTAAATGAAAAGCAGCCCAAAATGAGCCTTAAAACCTCCACCAGCGCGGCGAAAAGGCGCCGTGGTTACCGTGGTAACGTGCCAAAACGGGAGAGAACAGGGGCGACAGCAGAGAGAGAACCGCTACATGTGTGTGTGTGTAAATATGATGGTGTGTTTGTGTGTTTGCCTCGGATACACGTGTCGGCACAACCTTTGTGTTACTTCCGCATGACAATGTCACACACACGCACACACACACACACACACACACTCAAATTATGTATAGAATGGTGGTTTATGGTGTTTGTAGTTTGCTTTCGCGTGTGCCAGTTTTTATCGCTGGCGTCTGATGCATATTCAGAGTATTAAAGAGTAAAGCAGCTCCTCTGGATTCATCTCAATTAATCCGACAAACGGAAAGCAGCTTTTAGGTTAAAAAAAATTCAAAGCGAGCAAAACCCAAGTTTTCACATGTAAAAAGTCAAGTGTGTCATCGTCAGAGGTCTGAAGTGACGTATTTTCCAGAGTCTGGATCCCCCCCAGGACTGACCCCCTCCTCGTCCATCAGCAACCCGCCGGCTGGCTGTGTGTGTGTGTGTGTGTGTGTGTGTGTGTGTGTGTGTGTGTGTGTGTGTGTGTGTGTGCACTGCGCTGCGTTGGAGTGCACGGTGGTACGTAGCACATTCGAAGCTCTTTCACAGCGGCGGGATGGAGGTGAAACTGCGTTTGTTTGGGGTTTTTGAGGAGGGATTTTAAGGGATTCTGTTGTTCGTGGTTCCTGTGGCGATATGTCCAAGAGTCAAGATGTTAGGAATATAAAGTGGTAAAAATAAATTAAAAATATATGAAGCAAATACAAATATCATACGTATACAAATATAAAATTAAAAAAAACATGAAACAAAAACAATCTAACACACACACACACACACACACACACAATGTATACCAACAGTTGGTGATGTTGAGGTATTAAAGGTTGAGGTATTAAATGGTCGTTTCCAGAGATTAGGATTAAAAAAATATAATTTAAAGATGAATCGTCTCAAACACACAATTAGATTAGAATTAGAATTGATTTGTGGTGCTGAATGTATTGGAAAATGAATCCAATATTAATATCTACTTCAATCAGTACGGTGAACAGAACCTTTATCAGCTTCCTCAGACCAAATACTCAGCAACTAAAAAGCTCAAAAATACACATTTTACATATATTTTGATTCATCATCACTTCCCCACATACGAACGTCCTCGACTCCCCTTGAAATCATGCGGGCTGCTCTTCATATTTTGCATACCTTAATTAGCGCTTACAAAGCAATACAAATGAGCCGGTCGGCTCCTAATTAATTAGCAATGTGGGTTTTAGAGTGAGTGGGTGATTGTTTTTTTGTGACCCTACCTGGATTTAAACAACCAGCTCAATTAAAGACGGGATGTTAGTTTACCGGGAGGCTTCGATATTCCCCGTAGCGGAGAGGATCGTTCGTTTACAAGATTTAAAACGTTAAAAACAACCAACAAGTCAACAGAAAGATTTCTGCGTATTATGTAAGCGACATTTCACTAAGGAGGTCATAGATAACGGCTTTCTCATATTAAGAATATTATGAATGCAGATCTAGATTATACGAGACCAGGAGGGTCGACCCGTCCTCAACCTCAAGGTCATTACGGACCTTATTTTAGGGATATATCTCGGTCCGATTTGTTTTTTGCGTGATGAATTGGATGTGTGGCTGGAGTGCGTGACTAAAGACGCTCAATGCGTGACACTTGAGAGCCCCGAGTTATTGTTGGTCAGCGCAAATTACTGTTGAATGAAATTATAATCAGACCCCCCTAGGAAAAACTCTTTGGATCTGCACAATTCACACAAGGCACCTTAAAAAAGGTTGAAGGCCAATGCCTGACCTCAACGGTTAAAGAACAATGCCTGACCTCAACGGTTAAAGAACAATGCCTGACCTCAAACGTTAAAGACCAATGCCTGACCTCAAACGTTAAGGCCAATGCCTGACAATAAAACGTTAAAGACCAATGCCTGACCTCAAACGTTAAGGCCAATGCCTGACCTCAAGGGTTAAAGACCAATGCCTGACCTCAACGGTTAAAGACCAATGCCTGACCTCAACGGTTAAAGACCAATGCCTGACCTCAACGGTTCAAGGCCAATGCCTGACAATAAAACGTTAAAGACCAATGCCTGACCTCAAACGTTAAGGCCAATGCCTGACCTCATGGGTTAAAGAACAATTCCTGACCTCAACGGTTAAAGAACAATGCCTGACCTCAACGGTTAAAGACCAATGCCTGACAATAAAGCGTTAAAGACCAATGCCTGACCTCAAACGTTAAGACCAATGCCTGACCTCAACGGTTCAACGTCAATGCCTGACCTCAACGGTTCAACGTCAATGCCTGACCTCAACGGTTCAAGGCCAATGCCTGACCTCAACGGTTCAAGGCCAATGCCTGACCTCAACGGTTAAAGACCAATGCCTGACAATAAAACGTTAAAGAACAATGCCTGACCTCAAACGTTAAGACCAATGCCTGACCTCAAACGTTAAAGACCAATGCCTGACCTCAACGGTTCAAGGTCAATGCCTGACCTCAACGGTTCAAGGTCAATGCCTGACCCCGACCTTGAAAGGTCTGCTGAATCCCACCACCTTCCTTATAGTCTTCGGCGATGTCCGTTTCAGCGTGTTGAGAACTTCTCGTCTCCATCTGCTGAGGAGGACGCGGTACTCACAATCAAAAAAGCTCCTGAGCAGCTACCAGATGGGTTTTATGGCGACATTAACGTGGCGCAACGCCGGCAGTCGGCGGAGGAAGACGGCGTTTATGGGCTGATGAGCCGCGGCTTGTTTTTAATGAACCGCTAAGAATAAAATACCTGATGTGTTTGAGTGCTGCGGTTTGTTTGGGCACCGCACAAGTTTAGACGAGCGAAGGATTTAAAGTATGATTATTATATTTAAATAGAGCCGAAGGGAAACACGGTAACGACCTGAATTAAAGAGGGGAGTCATCTCCGCAAAGGGGAGGGGGGGCTAATTCACGGACTCCCTGGCCAAAACCACCCGGGGGGGGGCTGAAACGTCCTCCTGCTTCCTTAATATCCGTCACATGCAGAGAAGAATGAGATGTGAGGTTTGCCCCCTCCCCCGAAAACACTCTCATATTGTTTATTAATTACAACATTATATCGTTTATATTATTATATTAAGTGTTCAATAAAAGCATTAAAACTAATGGCCTTAAGGAATCAAGAGTTCTTAAACTGGCCTTTAAAAAAAATGTTTTATTAATGTGAATACATTCTTTTTATTGCGTTCAATGTTCGTGTAACTTTTGGGGTAGTTTGGCTCGAATTGACTTTCTTTTACTGCATTTTAAGGCCTAAAAACTCAATAATTTATTAATCATAAGATTTGCTCTTAAAAACATTGTAGCTTTCGTTACAAGTATAAAAAATTGATTGTGAAGTGATCGATTTAAGAGCCGAAAAGCCGAAAATCCAATAATTGTACAACCCCCACGTTTTGAGGAAGTTTTGACTTTGACAAATATCAAAATAGTCGCAGTGCATCCTCTGAAAGGTGAATCATTGTTTTGTTTTTAAAAAGAAAATGTGAAAAGGAAAAAGAAAAACCATCTGCCAATTTTTGTAATCAATGAATTCACAAAACGCCACCGTCTTTCACGGAGTTCAGTCTTAACGGCCGCCGCTGAATAATAAAGACACCACGGATTTCATTACTGGTCTGACCCCCCCCAGTTATTGATGCAGGATACCAGCGATGTGATGCCGTCGCTGAGGACTCAATATGTCAGGATGACCGGTTAATAACGGGCCGGGACAAAGAGAATAAAAAAATAAAAAATACTCTTCCCCACCTGCTGAGAAAGTAATAAAACCAGACACAACAGTGTGTGTGAAGGACATATGAAGAAAGGGAGCGTAGAAACATCCAATAAGATGTTGTTGATTGACACACACGCACACACACACACACAGGTACAAATTGAAGTGAAGACACACAGAGAAAAGGTTAGTGGCAGCAACCTGTCAATCGCCCCATTGGTTTGCCTCTAAATGGACCATCATTCACTAAATGAACATCATGATGTGTTGAAGAAGACTTGAAACTAGAGACTGAGACCATAAACTCATGTTTACAATGTTTACTGAGGGAATAAATCAAGAGAGACGAGTCATTTCCTCATAGACGTCTATGGGAGCAGAGGAGTCGCCCCCTGCTGGTCACTACAGAGAAGTAGAGTCATTTCCTCATAGACGTCTATGGGAGCAGAGGAGTCGTCCCCTGCTGGTCACTACAGAGAAGTAGAGTCATTTCCTCATAGACGTCTATGGGAGCAGAGGAGTCGCCCCCTGCTGGTCACTACAGAGAAGTAGAGTCATTTCCTCATAGACGTCTATGGGAGCAGAGGAGTCGCCCCCTGCTGGTCACTACAGAGAAGTAGAGTCATTTCCTCATAGACGTCTATGGGAGCAGAGGAGTCGCCCCCTGCTGGTCACTACAGAGAAGTAGAGTCATTTCCTCATAGACGTCTATGGGAGCAGAGGAGTCGCCCCCTGCTGGTCACTACAGAGAAGTAGAGTCATTTCCTCATAGACGTCTATGGGAGCAGAGGAGTCGCCCCCTGCTGGTCACTGCACAGAACGCAGCTTTATCACATGAAGCTCTGACTTTGAGTTGCATAACTAAAAATGGACAAAATAAGAGGACAGACGGAATTATTTGGCATTCATTATTTAGGCCTCGCTCTCCCTCTGCGGACCGACCCGCGAACATTCTCTGACTAAAGCTAAATAAACACACGTTGTAATCCTTAAACTCAGATCGTTTAAGACGGCATAAGACCTTTCAATCACGGGAAACACCTGCAGTTCTCTTCACCTTAAATATTTGTATATCCTCCCTCTTTGCCCCCCCGC